CCTGAGTGGGGATGAACACTTTACTGACAGAGTCACCCCTCTAGCTCTGTAGTGTAACATTTCGATTCTTTTATTTTATAATTATTTATCGTCATTGTTTTTTTTTTTTTTTTTTTTTTTTTTTTTTTTTTTTTTTTTTTTTTTTGTTTTTTTTTTTTTTTTTTTTTTTTTTTTTTTTTTTTTTTTTTTTTTTTGAGGCAGGGTCTCTCTGTGTAGCCCTGGCTGTCCTGGACTTGCTTTGCAGACCAGTCTGGCCTGGAACTCAGAGATCCGTCTGCCTTTGCCTCCCAAGTGCTGGAATTACAGTTGTGTGCTACCAAACCCCGCTTCCAAGTGCTGGATAAGTGTACATAATTGGTTAAAAGTAGGCACTTCAAGGATGCTTGATTTGCATTAAACAACATACTCCTATCATATGAATGGAAACACAGCACCTAAGTATCCTATAGGCACAGGGAAGGGAGAGCTAGCAGGGAAGCTGTGTCAAAGGTCATATATCAAATGTGGTTAGGGGCATCTATGTCTAAAGATGTTCTCCAGATGAAGTCAGGCAGAGAGTAGGAGGCCCTGCTGGGGAGAGGGGGTCCTGCACATTAATACTGAGCTCAGAATGGCTATCCTGACTGGGAGGACTGTAACTGCAAACAGAGGTCCTGACAACACAGTTGGCATGAATTTAAAAAAATAAAATCTATATTGGGTTTCTTATACCTTCCCCTCTATTCACCCCAATCCCTTCCAACGCCCCAATACCAGGTAGGAGAGAAAGAAGGTTAGCAGGCAGAGGGGACATAGTTCTCTTTTGGCTATATCCTGCTGACTGGAGTGGTTGGGTTTCTTGGGGCAAGTACAATCTTCGTTTCAGGATATTTCTAACTTCTTCACATCAAATCATGACAGCAGCAACCAGGAGCAGCTTGGGAGAGAAGCAGCTGCTTTCTGCTTTCTGAGAGTGCCCTGTCCCTCTCTGGGCATTTATACCCTCTCAGAGTCCCCAGAATTAAACCATCTGCAGTTGGCAAAGATTATGCCCCTCTCTGAGCCAGCATGAGGGAAGTAGTCTGTTGCTGTGGACAATCTGAAGCAGCCTCTGGGAGGGAGTGTGGAGAGGGTATCTCCTGTAGATAAACTACCCTACTCATCTACAAAATAATGCTGTGCACTTACCTAAACACACTCACGTGACTGCGGATTTCTAGACAAAGGCCCAGAAAGATAGTGCTGTCTCTCTCAACCCTACCATCTCACGGACTACTGAAGGTGTCACTGTGGCGATCTTTATATTTAACACTTAACTATTATTTGTTTAAAAGGATTAATTTTGTTTTTAATTATACATTTTGTGCTCGTCTGTGTGTGGGTATGTATTCATGTATGTGTATGTGTATGTGTATGTGTATACGTGTGAGCGCTGGGAACTGAACTTAGGTTCTTTGCAAGGATAGTATGTATTCTTAACCACTAAACTATCTCTCTAGGCCCCAATTTATATCTATCTATCTCCTATTAGACTGTTCTAAATCACTTTAGGGGGATAGACAATTTGTTTTACTTCTGGGTCTCCAGCACCAAACCAATGATTGGCATTTCTTAAATGCTGGTTGTTTCTCTGTGCTTCCTGGAGAGGGTGGGTGGGGATGCTCAGACTCAGCGGGATAGGACTCTACTTGGGAAGGTGAAGTTTATCTCAAGGAAATCTCTTCTCCATTGCTTCATTTAAGCTCATCAAGCTTCTCTTAACCTTTCCAAACTTTAGGGAAGAATTTGTTTGCCAAATGACAGGGAGAACCATGCAAATTCTTTAAGAAAGATGACATTTAGGCTTCAGTGATGTCTTTTGTGATCCTGTTCATAAGGTACTCCTGTAGCTTGGGGATTTGCCTTTCTAGGGAGCTTGGCTGTTTTGGCTTGTGTTTCTTCCAGGCATGTTCTTACTGGGTGCAGATAAATCATGCTAGCTTTATGGTAAGTAGCCTTTGTAAACATGCTTTCATGTTTAGCCCCACGACAAATGTCCTGGGAACTCCATTACCCTTATATTCCCATGATCTCAAAGATGGTTCAGAATAACTGAGATGTCAGTTGCACTCAGCGCGTCTTGACTTTCCTAGGGCATGGAGCCTTTGGGGATCTGGGGTAGTTAACTTCTGAGCCATCCCTCAGCCTGTGTGATTACCTTGCTTTGACTAATGAGCAAAATAAATTCTTCCAAATGTCAATGGACCTGTAATCCTGCCCAAATGTCATAGGAAAGGCTGGGGACATCTTGGAAAAAGTTTATGCCTTGATAGGCCATTTGCTATGTCATTCTTGGGTCAGGTCAGGCTCTGCTAAACATTTCATTTCATTATCACGCCACTCCAGTGAGGGTCTATGTGTAGTTTCCATTCCAATTACTGGGAAATGATTCACTTAAATCATTACAATGGGCATTTGACATGGAACACAAATCCTGGTTTTTGTTTTTGTTTAATTTCTTCCCTCCCTAGAGAAGAGAATCTAAAGGAATGAAAACCTGTTTTCCATCTCCTTCTCCTTTCTCAGTCCAGGAACATTTGAGATGATCATTAATGCTGGGTCATTTCTGACTCGGCCAATGCAATTGTTGAATTTGTGGTTTTTAGCTGATTTGTAGTTGGGCTTTTCATCTTTGACTAATGACTGCTTTCAGGCCTTTGTGGCATATTCATTTCCCCAACATTTAAAATAAATACTGAAGTGTCATGGAAACCAGTGCTGGCTTCCTTCTGGGTTCTCAGTGTGTGTCTATTTTGGTGGCTTTTCTTCAGTGATGACTTCAGCTGCTGTGAAACAGACACTAACTTTTGCTTTTACGTACATTTGGCCATTATAGCAAGATGATTGACACAGATGCCAGGGGACCTTCCAAGGAAGACTTAGTGAGATAAAAAGCCATCTTTCCATGTATTCGTTTGTATATGTCTTCAGTAAGCTACACGGAGGCCCTCATGTACACCAGGCACTAAGGCCATACTTGGGGTACCATGGCTGTTGCTTTAGAAAACAAACCCTCAGATAAGAGTGGTGGGCTGGGTAGCAAGTGCCACAGTCCTAGCTATTCAGGAGGCTGAGACAGAGAATCATGTGAGCCCAGGATTTGCTTGTTTGTTTTCGAGACACCGTCTCTCTCTCTCTCTCTGTGGCCTTCTCCTTCAAATTATTTCATGGGTTTATTTTTATTTTATGTGTAAGAGTGTTTTGCTTGCGTGTGTGTATGTACACCATGGGTATGCCGTGCTCCCAAGAGGCCAGACTCTCGATCTGCGTATGAAAGAGAACGTGTGTTGTTCATCTTGCAGAGCCTGGGTCACTTCGTTCACTTTAATTTTTTCCCCCCCAGGAGACGCTACAAAGTGGGTGGCAACACTTGACCTGCAAATGTATTTTAGACCCTTGTCAGGGGGAATGTTGTCTCTCTTTCCATATAAAACCTCTTTTCTTTTGCAGACAGGGTCTTGCACTAAGTCCAGGCTGGCCTTGAATGCATGGCAATCCTCCTGTCCCAGCCGGCCACATTGCTGGGATCACACACCTACATAGCCCCCACATCTGGCTTTTCTGTGAATGTGTGTGCACTTGTACGTACATGATGTGTGTGTATGAACGCTTCCCTGTGGGGGGTATGCGTTCACAGCTGTGTGCATGTGCAATTGGAAGCCAGAAGTCCCCAATGGCTCTCCACCTTGTTTTATTGGGACGGGGTCTCTCACTGAACCCAGCGCCCACTTATTCTGAGATAGTGGCTACCCAGCAAGCTCTGAGCACCTTCTGTCTCTGCCTCGTCATTGGTGGAATACAGGCACACATCACCACATCCATTTTTGTTTAATGCAAGTGCCAGGGGCCTGAACTCAGGTCTTAATCTTTTTTGTTTGCTTGTTTGTTTGTTTTCAAGACAGGGTTTCTCTATGTGTAGCCTTGTGTGTGTCCTGTCTTAGAACTCTCTTTGTTGAACAGGTTGACCTTGAACTCACAGAGATATACCTGCCTCTGCCTCCCCAGTCCTGGGATTAAAGGTCACCACACCTGGCTAGGTAGGTCTTAATTTATTAACTGAGCTATTTTTCAGCTCCTCCTTTCTTTTTTCTTTTTCTTTCTTCCTTCCTTCCTTCCTTCCTTCCTTCCTTCCTTCCTTCCTTCCTTTCTTTCTTTCTTTCTTTCTTTCTTTCTTTCTTTCTTTCTTTCTTTCT